AGTGTGTATCAGAGACATTCAGGTAAGGATGGGAAGACTTTTTCTGCCAAGGATTTTTACATTAGTGGCTACACTGCCCAGGTAGATAAGCTCAAACAGCCAATGAGAAGCATCTACTTGTCAACTCACACCAGGACCAGGCCCCACGAATTTGCAGGCATTATACAGTCTGCAAGCCTGACTTACCCAACTCTGCGCTATATGAAGTTTGATTTTCTCCTCTTACCTTCAAATCTTGCTAGGCACTGAAAGAGAATAAATGGGTGCAATTTCCTGGGAACTTATATTCAGCATTTTCCTGAGTTCTTGGAATCCAGGAATGGCCAGAATCTGTGAGCCAGACTTCACACCTGCTATTTCTCCATGGGGCTTATGGCTTCAAAGGTAAAATGTGGTCTTTCTTTTCAGACAATTCTGTGAGCATGCGAGTCTCTATTTTTTAATTACTTTAATAAGAACAAAAATAGCATGTCTCCTTGGCCTTTAGAGTAGGCACTTAAGTCTTTACTGATTAGCTGGTTGATTGCTAAATTTTACTGGAAACTTTTTGCATTCCTTTTTGTGAATGGAATTCTCATTTTTGAGATGCATACAAACAAGCGCTACTTTTTTCAGGGATGACTAATTTGAGGCTAGCTCACATCCACAATGATGTACATTTTAATTTAGGGTGCCCAGGAGCACATGCACATTTCTGCCTTAATCCAGCTAAGAGGACAGGAACACCATCTCCCTCAAACTTACAATTCCAGAAGTACCTCTGAGCAGTGTTGCCAGGCATTCTGATCCACAAGTGAATTGGATCTGGGTCCACATCATCCCTTCCCTAAATCTGACCCCTGCCACCACTCCAGGTGGACCACTGCCCCAAGAGAGGGCAGGCCATTATGTTGAACATCCTCACTGACTACCATCTCCCATGATATAGGTTCAATTGCAAGGGGTTGAATCTGCTTGCAATGAATGCTGGACAGACCAACAATAACCACAGGACAGTCATTTGGTCTTGCCTTAATGAGCCCCACCTGGTTTTCTTCTACTCAGTTTACCCTGATATATAGCTCAGGAGGATGCTGTTTGTTGAGCCTAATGGGATTAAGCCTATCAACGGCTGTAGATTTCTGAAGTTTTTAAGAGTTCAAGGCAGGGGATCTCAGGTAGGGTGACCTTGTTAGAAAGGAGTGTGACTTGTTAATGTACCTGTAACAACATTTGGATTGTACTGATTTTTAAAAAACACACACCAAAACTACATAATTAGAATATTTGCTAGCTCATGAAAATAACAGTTTAAAAGAACATGATGCATAAATATTGATGCTGCTTTTTGTTGTAATTGTGACAACAGAACATGTTCTTAAATTCATTCTTATTGTACAGGGGGGAAAAAACAAAACTTTTCCTTACTTTGTTTTCAAAAGACACAATAGATCACAAAGCTTAAGGAAATAGAATATTCTTGCAATGGGCTATTTTCAAAAACAAAGATTAGTCCATTCCAGAAGAAAAAAACATCTGGGAAGTAAGTTCATGTCCTTGAAATTATTTCACAATAATCTAAACATTCAAAATCTCAAGGTTTAGGATCTTATAGATCAGAGACTAACTTTTTGACAAATTCTTAGTAAAAAGTCTTGGAGACTAGATACGATGTAGTATGTGACAAGCATGATTCCTAAAACTAAGGGAGATTCTTACTGAATAGTGAGCTATCTGATGGCATATGTTTCTTAAAAGTACTAATGTTATAGAATATGTACAAACTTTAAACTTTAAAAGAGGATGGTCTTTGGAGGCATGGGTACTCGATCACTGTTTGACTGAAACGTAAGCATGAAAGTTTGTAAGTCTGTAACTGTATCTCACTGTGATTCATCAAATTAATTAATTAGTTAGAATTTTAAAACAATAATAAAAAAATAAATAAAAAAGGATGGTCTTAATGTTTCAATTGCATAGGAGTTATATGATCAGAGGATTATATCAGACAAATGGAAACTTTTACTTAAAAAACAGAATACTTACACATTTTTCTCTTGGGCCTCCCTCAAAATGCTCAGTAATATTTCTATTCTTGTTTCAAATGACTGGCAAGGAAGCATGGCATTATGCCATCAAGTATGCTGAAAGAGTACCCTAGAAATATTCCGCTAGTCTGTGTAATCCTTAGAGGCCGCACCCTAACTTCAAAGGCATCCAGTCAGCTAGACAGAGCCCTATTGTATGTAAAAATTCAGCCAATATTCTGAGTTCCTGAAAAGAATCTTATTTGATTTAACAAATGTAAATATGTATTGGAGAGCTAACACTGAGGGTAAGGCACTTGTCTCACCAGGAGTGACCTGGGAGCACAGAGCCAGGAGTAAGCCCACTTCTCCCCTCTGCTACACTGCCAGGTATGGCCTCAAAACAACCAAGGTGGGGGGAGGAAAGAATGCCAAGTACAAAATCTGAGAGACAGGAACTCAAGTCAGTGAAGTGCCACAATATAATTATCCTGCATTTCACAGGTAGGATAATGGGCAGAAACAGAGTAGAGAGGTGACTCATAGCAGTTACTCATTTAAATGAAAGTGCTCAGATGCCCTCAATGCTCAGAATCACGGAAGGTTAAAAGAGCCAGGAATTTTTTTTTTCTTTTTGGGTCACACCCAGTGATGCTCAGGGGTTGCTCCTTTACTCCTGGCTCTGCACTTAGAAATTACTCTTGGCCATGTTTGGGGGACCATATGGGATGTCGGGGATTGAACCCGGGTCTGCCATGTGCAAGGCAAACTCCCTACCCACTGTACTATCGCTCCAGCCCAAGAGCCAGGAATTTAATATGGCAGTGGTCTAGCCCTTTTATCTTGAAGGTCAGTAGAGGTATATCTCATTCATTGATCATTTTGGAAGATATACCCTGGTCGCTTTTACCCCTTTAATGTCAGGAGAATGTGATATGAAAGAAGGAAAATCAAGCATCAGCTGAGCTCTCTCCTGTGTAAGTTTTTGTCAGTTTAGGTTCTAGCTCATCCTAGCCATCCACATTTTATGCTGAACTTATTGGGGATTCTTCTAAGGATTCCATTATGGAAGGGCTACCAGAGTTCTCCTTATCTGTTTCTTCCAGTTGTTAGGAAACTGAACTGTGCATTTGTTTCCCAAGGGTTGGCTGAGCTAAATCATATGAACATGTGCTCTGTATCAGATTCTTCTGAAATCAGGCTAGCATCCTCTGACATTTTGCCAGGGATATCTAGGTTTCTTTCTCTGCATTCTTCCTAAGATTTTAAATTCTCAGGTTCTTTTAGTTCACTTAGATTTTTGTCTCCAGTTACAAAGAGGGTAGAGTCACTACACTGAAAAACTTTCTAAAACCGAAGCTAGTTGCAGTGGTGGAGTGAGGGGTGAGGGTATAAAAAGTGAGAGTATAGTGGGCTGGGGGCTTGCCTAGCATGTAGCTGACCTGAGTTTGACCTGACTGTGACACCCCATATGATTCCCCCAGGTTGTAACCACAGAGCTAGAAGGAAGCTGTGAGCACCTCTGAAAGGGGGGTGTGTGGAGGGAGGAGGGAGAAAGGGGGGGAGGGAGAGAGAGAGAGAGAGAGAGAGAGAGAGAGAGAGAGAGAGAGAGAGAGAGACTGGGTGTCAGCTTGAAAAAGGTGAGGTGGAAGTAAATGTTGTGAGTTCTTTTTATTCTGGCCCTTGGGTATCTTATCTACCTAAGGGAAAACATCATTTCTATATTATTGAAGGTGACCACAAAGCATCCAAAATTAGTTTTCCAATTCCTTCTCGTTAAAAGCAAAAATATCAAGACTCTGCAGTCATGAAACCTAATGAACTGATGCATTAATCAGAAACATCAATGCAAAAAGCAAGTTTTTCTATCAGTAAGTATGTAATTCCATTTAAAATCTTTACACCTGTTTGCACATCAAAGGCAAGGAAAGAGGCACAGGAAGGCTGGGGAGTGAGGCTATAGTGAGTAGACTGAGGAAGGGAACTGGGCTCTTTTCCTTTTACTTATTTCTAAATTGCATGGATTTGTCATTATGCACTTGGATTAATTTTTAAAAATTTAATCACACACATTCACACATAGACTTCACTGCATTTAAAGTCTGGGAAAGTGTTACATCCTTGGTTCGACTGGTTCCGTGTAGAACCAGTGGACTGGTTCAGTTCCTTCACCAAACATTCCTTTACGCATCTCGTTGGGTTTTTGGTTTTTTTTTTGGGTCAGAAACCAGGGCACCATGATGAATAATGGCTGGTCCATGGCAGGATGAAAATCTGTCCCGGAACGCAGATAAAAGGAACAGGAGATCTGATAAAGAAGTCATTGGAGGGATACATCAGACTCCCTTGGCTCCTACTTGGCCCTTCGGTCCGCTTCATCTTTTGGCAGCGCAAAGAGCAGACGTCATCCTCTCATTCTTAAACGTCTTATTTAGGATTCAGACTCTACTCAGTAGCGCCCGGCAGGAGCTGTCCTTGGGGAAAGAGAAGTCTCCCCCGCACCTCCCGCCCCCAACACCCTCACTGGAGTACCTGGAACCGATCTTGCGGCTGCACACAGACTCAGCCTCGTCTGGAGTCTCTGCCGAGTAATAGAGACTCTGGGACAGCGAAGGGGGCACCTAGTGACTGGGAACTCGATTCTACCTTCCTTCCCGCCGAATCGCGGCGGGGGAATCACGAAGTGGCAGGCGATGCAAAGTGCTACGTGTAAACGCTAGATCGTGCTTTATTTATTTATTTATTTTTATTTTCCTCCCAGCTGGACGTGTCCATGCACCAAAATGTTGGTCGATGCTGCAAAGAGTGGATGCCACACTTACCTGGCCGACTTCTTCCATCCCAACGGGGCGCGGGGACGCCGGAGGGCTGGCGCGCGCACCGCGGCTCGGAGCCGGTGTCTCGCGGCCCCAGCTGGCCCGGCTGGCCGAGGCAGGGAGAGAGGGAGGGAGAGAGGAAGGGAGGGAGGACAGTGCCCTGCCAGCCCCGGGTGCCGGAGCCGCTCGGCCGCCGCGGCTCCCGCAGTCAGCGCCCCCGCGCGCACGCGCGCTCGCCGCGGGCCGCCCCGGCCGCCTCCGGGGCTTCCGCCCGCCTGCGGCTCAGGGACGGCGCGGGCGGGGTGGCGACCACGTGACCTGCGCCAACATGGCGGCGCCCAGCGGCGTCCACCTGCTCGTCCTCAGAGGTAAGCACCTGGAGGACGGCCCAGGGGGGTTCGCCGCGCCGCTCGCTCCCCCGCGCCGGAGTTTGGTGGGCTGTGCTTCCGCTCTCACGCCTCTCGGCGCACTCGAGGGTACCTCCAGTCGTGCAAACACACCCCGGCACGCTCGGGGATCGTTCAGACGCCGCGGAATAGACATTTGTGCACGCTCTGTGTTTGCAGTCGACTATGGTTGTGGTTGTGATTGTTGTTGTTGGTGGTGGTCTTTGGGTCACACCCGGCGGTGCTCAGGGCTTACTCCGGGAGTTGTGCACGGGGGGGTCACTCCTGGCTGTCTGGGGAAAACCATAGGTGGATGGAAGCTTTATTCACAATTGTAAAAATATGGAATCTGTGGAATCCGTCTAAATATCTAATAGACCCCAAATGCCTATGGACAGGTAAATAAAGATGTGTTTTATCTATTCAATGGAATACAACCACTAGAAAATAAAACTATGGCTATTGGCATAAAAATTAATGGAAATTAAGGTTGCTATGCTAAGTGAAAGAAGTGAAGAATAGTTATCAGGTAGTTTCACTTCTATCTGGAGTGTAAATTAATAAAACACACTGGCAAGAGACACAGAACTAACTCATAGACTCCGTGAAACTAGAGTGACTAGCAGAGGGAGGGTCTGGGCAAAGCAGTCTTCTTGGTGGGAGGATAGAAATGGAACTTGAATGGTGGGAATGATGATGACTAGAAACATTGAGGTAGAAAGCTAAGTCCCCAATTCTATAATACTGCAAACCAACTATAAGTCAGCGAAAAAATTAATCTTGATGTTATAAAAGTTAAAAAAAAATCCATAGGTGGTACCAGGGTTTGAACCCATGTTGACCATGTGCAAGGCCAACACCTTAGCCAATGTAGTATATACACCCCAGCCCCTTCCTGACTTTTAAGGGACATTGTCGCATGTTTCTTGCCCCACTTCAGATGCATATATATTGTAGCAAGTTTATCTATTCCGCCACAGAGTGAGGAACCTGTATCCTCTGAGATGTGCCTCCATACCCACCCAGTTGCCACAGAGATGGTGACTGGACTGTGTTTTATCTCTTGGCATGATGCAGCACATCTTAGGGGACTGGTATAAATAATATGATTGTATTCTCCAAGTGACTTGAAGTGAAGTAGAGAATTTACGTGTAGGTAGCCCTCAGTAAGTGCTATTCTTGCTAAAAGGTGTGTGGTTTTAGTAAACATAAAATACTTTTGCAACTTAGAGAAGTCATTGTTAGTGCTGAAGTAGTTCTTGAATCTTTGTTGTAAAGAACGAGGAAGGTGTTCCATGATAAGGAAAGAGGTGAACAAATATTTTGAGAGGCTTACTTAGGTGTCAGACATGTAGCAACCATAATCCTCTGAGGAGGTAATATTTTTCATAGTCAATATTTATTGCTTATTAAATGCCTTTTAAGTATGTGATACTCTGATAAGTGTCTTACATATGCCAGCAACTTTCAAAAACCCAACAAGTTAGGCATGATTCCATGTTTGTAGGTAAGAAAAGTGAGGCAGAGAAGTTAAGTTTAATGACAGAGATCACACAAATAGTAAGAGGCATATAGGTATTTAAGCAATGACTCATTTTTTTTAAAGGTTCATTTCTTTTGACTGTTTGGCATGATTCTCTGTAGAAAGTAAGTATGCAGAATTCAAAGGCGATTATCATGTGTATATTGTGTGTGTTGAGAGAGAAGTTTTTAAGAGACGGAGTTTGGTGAACAATAAGCAGATAGACCTCAGAATTTCTGTGTTACTGGAGAAGGAGCCATAGGAAGATCTGAGGTGAGATCAGCAGTGTCAGGATACTTAAATGGAAGAGTAGAGGCCAAAAGAGAGTTGAAAAAGAGTATGGACTGACATCTCTTAAGATCTGAACTACAGTCCAGACTATTTACTTGTCAAGGTAGTTTTCTGTTTCTATTTTTGACAAGAAAACATGTCATATCGGGACCAGAGTGATAGCACAATGGATAGGGTGCTTGTTTTGGACACGGCAGACCAGGATTCAATTCCTGCCACCCCGTATGGTCCCCCAAGCCCACCAGGAGTGTTCCTGAGTGCAGAGTCAGGAGTAAGCCCTGAACACCACCAGCTGTGACCCAAAAACATGTAGAGAAAGAGACAACACACATAATAATACACATATGAGTACACTTATACACATATGTGATTTCTTTGCAGATTTTAGAGACATCATTAATAGACATCATTAATCTTTTCTTTTTCCGTTCCTTGGGAGTTTTCCTCCCCAGCAAGGGAATGGGGGTTGGCGGGCATGTCTGACATTGTTCATGACTTACACCTGGTTCTGTGCTCAGGGATCACTCCTGGCTGACTTGAGGACCTTAGAGGGTATCAGGGATCGAACCTGGGTTGGCCACGCATAAGGCACACACCCCACCTGTGGTACTATTGCTCCGGCTCCAGGACGAGAGCGCTTAAGAACTATCACTAATTAGTTTTAGGACAGTAGATAGGTTATCCTGCATCACCTCCTTTGCATGGGGATAGACAAAGAATAAAGTCATAAAAGTTCAGCTTTCTTCCTCTGTTTTGCTCATACAAATGATATTATTCCATCCTCCACTCTAAAACTTTTAAGTTCCAGGTTTTATTATCAGCATCTATGTGAATCTTTTCTGTCTGGAATATTTATTTTTATAAAGGCATTTTTAAATTGTTGATTGTTTGAGGGACCTCATCCAGCATACTCAGGGTTCATCAGGGCCACTCTCAGCAATGCTGAGAAGCTTTGTGGTGGCAGGATCAAAGCCAGGCCTTACACATGCAAGGCATATGCTCTCCCACTCTTAGCCACATCTCTGACCCTTTTAACTTTTTAGGAAGGACACAGTGGTTCTTGTGACTCTTTTCGTCACACTGTACCCTATTTATAGCTTACAGCTGCCTCTCTTCATCTCTCTTAACTAACAGACTCCTGTTCCTGTTGAACTAGAACTATCTTTTTGTTTAATTTTGTTTCTGGACCACACCCAGCTATGCTCAGGGTTTATTCCTGGCTCTGTGCTCAGGAATCATTTCTGGTAGGTTTGAGAGACCATATAAAGGGCTGGGAATTAAACCTGGTTGGCCATGTGCAAGACAATTTCCTTACTTGCTTTATTGTCTCTCCAGCCCCCAAATAGGAACTGTCTTTTCCTTTCTTTCTTTCTTTCTTTCTTTCTTTCTTTCTTTCTTTCTTTCTTTCTTTAATTTCCTTACTTGCTTTATTGTCTCTCCAGCCCCCAAATAGGAACTGTCTTTTCTTTCTTTCTTTCTTTCTTTCTTTCTTTCTTTCTTTCTTTCTAAATTAGATCAAGTTTATTATATGTTTAAAGTTTTTTGTGGGTTTTTGGGAGGGGTCAGACACAGTGACACTCAGGGGTTACTTCTGACTCTGCATTCAGGAATCAGTCTTTGCAGTGCTCTGGGGACCATATGGGATGCCGAGGATTGAATTTGGGGGTGGGTACATGCAGCACTGCCAGCTCCTTATCTGCTGGACTGTCTCTCCAATCCCATGTTTAAGGTTTTTAAATTTTTTTAAATTTTTTTTATTATTAGTGAAACACCATGAGGTTCAGTTGTAGATATACAATTTTTTGAATATTTTTTTTTATTGATTGAGATTCTGTGGTTTACAATACTATTAATAATGGTTTCTTGTGTACATAATTCCAACAGTCCCCCCCCCATCCCCAACAGTCTTGTCTGTTTTCAAGAGTACAGTGCCTGGGTCAAAGTTAAATTATTTAAATTTTATCTTAGAGGCCATTAATAGTTGTTCTGGGAGCTGGAGCAATAACACAGTGGGTAGGATGTTTGCCTTGCATGTGGTCAACCCAAGTTCGATTCCCAACATCCCATATGGTCCCCAAGCACCCCAGGAGTAACTCCTGAGTTTATGGGTCAGGAGTAATCCCTGTGTAATGCTGGGTGTGACCCAAAAAGAAAAAAAAGGGAAAAAAAAGAGTTGTTCTGTCCAGTGGAGGAGGGCTAGTTCAGGGTTTAAGGTGCCTGCCTTGTATGAGACCAGACCCCAGCTTGGATCCAAGACATCACTGGGTCCCACAGGGCCTTGAACTGCACCAAGTCCTCAGGCCAGTAATTGAATCACTGGCTTCATTGGTTCAAAACAAAACAACAAGGAATCAATCTCTTCTATTATAGCTAAGACATTGTAGATGAATTTGGAAAGAGCCATTAGATAAGCTCTTTCCTGTGCTCAATAAGTTTGTGAAGGGTTGGGGAAGTGAGGGGGCAGTTTTCCCTTTGTACTCTTGTACCTTTTATGACTCAGTCTCTTCTGTCTTGCCTCCTGTCTCTGATTGTCCCAGACTTTCACTAGCTTTTCTTTTGTAAGGTTTCTAAATAGTAGCGCTCCCCAAGATCCTTTCAGAAGCCCTTTTCCCTTTTTCTTTTTTTTTTCAAAGTTGCCTATCAGTGATAGTTAAAGCTATATGGGTTTTGTTTTATTTTGTTTTAATTATCCACTGAAACTGAGCCCCTGGCCTCAAGGCCAAGTCTCTTTTAGGCATTCTGAGGTAAAGTCACAGGGCCCTAAAGCATTACAGAGCTGATATAGAAATAAGTACATTTCTGCACCTCTTCACTTCCTCTGCCTATATATTCTATTTCTAGTAATAGTATCGCCATTTAGTTAGACCCTAAGGAAAACCATTTAATTTCTATGGCGAGTGGGTTGTAAAATGCCATTTTTTGGAATGCCTCCAGTTCTGGTCCATGTACGAACCTTCACCATTCTTAAACTAGATAGCGTCATTCTTTTCAATTAATCTTTTTTTCCTACGTCCAGAGTTATCTTTTCATAAAATTCAGATCTGAGATCAGGGAGATGGTTCAAAAGGACTGGAGTGCATGCTTTGGATATGGGAGCACTGCATGGTTCCTGAGCACCACCAGGAGTAGTCCTTGAGCACTGCGGGAAGTGGCACCCCAAGGAAAAACT